CAAGCTGGCACCAGAAGCCCCCCTACTTTTGTTTTAAAAGAACATTAAATAAAATCCAAATTTCTTACCAAGATCTGTACTGCCCAGCAGGGTGTGGTTCCTGTCCATCTCTTACACCTCAGTTCTGTCCTCTCCATTTCCCGTTCCCCTTCAGGCACAATGACCCTTCAGTGTCCTGAACTTGCCAGCACTTTTTTAATGTTGGAGATTTTCGCATGTAACAGTGCTTCCCACAGTAACAACTTTTCATCCTTTTGATTTCAGCTTAAATATCACCTTTTAAAAGGGCCTGACTACATTATCCATAGTAGTGTCTCCTTCTAAACTACACTGTTTGTTGTCTTATTAACAATAATCACAGGTTATAATTACTTTTGTAAGTTGCCCCTCTTTTCATTGTCTGATTCTATTTCAAGAGCATAAGGTCAATGTAGGCAGAACTTTTAACCTGATTTTTTTTCTGTTTTATTAACTACTGTATACATGGCTCATAGCATAGAACCTTGCATAAAATAGATGCTTCATTTTTTCAAAAAATAATAAATAATTTGATAAATAATTAGTTATTATAACTAAATTGGAGATAAAATTTTAACATATAAAATTCCACCCTTATAGGCAGAAAAAGTCAAGTATTAGATAAAAGGAAAGAAAATCTTGCTATGGCAAGGTGGGGAAATAAGAGACAGGTTCATCTTCATCGGAACAAAATGACAGGGCTGATATTTTATTCTCAACTAATAATAGTTGCATAATAGCTTTGAGGATTTTATTTTTATCCTTGATACATCTTTCTCATCCTAGTTATGTGATTGGTCTAACAGGTTTTTTTTTTTTTTTTTTTTAATATAGATGTTCTTTTAAAATTTTATGGAAAATCCCGGTGAATTTAATTAGGCAACAATCAGTCCTGGACACTTTCCAATTGCAGGACTCTATGGTTAATGCCATTAGCATGTATAAAATCTTCATGATCTTTGCCTGTATTGGGTCGGAAATGCTATGCTCTTAAGAACTGGTGTAGTTATTTCAGGAGATGGTTTCTTAGGCTTAAAGCCTGATACAAAAAAAGACAGAAGAAAATCATCTCCAAATTTCAAGTACAACTATTTGGCCACAACAACACAGTAGAATGAGATGGACTAAACATCTGAATGGTAGTTATACTTTATTGATGTCACTAGAAAAGAAGCTGCTAGAAAAAATTTCCCTGGTAAAATTACTAGTTGCTATCTTGTTATATAGACATAGGATTTCTTTGCATTTTTGATAAATTATGCTACAGGGAAAATTTTCATTTTTACTGTACCATGATTCCTTTGAAATATAGCTATAATGCAAATAATAATTTTCTGAAATATTTGGAAGAATCCATGCAGAAAATGGATAGACACAAGCATTTGAAATAAGATATATCTTCAAGGAATGATGCAGCATTTTGCCCTCTGTGGAGAAAGATGGAAGAGGGATTTCCAGCTCTTTGTAAGTAAAGTCAAAAGTCTTCCTTCAAATAGCAAACAAGCTTCCAAAAGGTAAGACTTTAATAGTTAATAGTGGAAACCAGGCTTTGCAGTTGTGTGAATTTCTTTATGTAGGAACTTATATCATTTGAGTTTATAAGAACTGAAAAGTTTAAAACCCTTCTCCTGGCAGTATGGGGATTTTGAAGTAAATCAAACTTAGATTCCAATTCCAGTTCTGTCACTTAAAAATATGTAACTTTGGAAAAATTAATTATATTCTGAGCCTCAGTTTTTTCAACTATAAAATGGGGATAACAATTCTTGTTATTGTAAACATGAAATATGGTACATTTAATGTGATTTTATATATGTGTATATTTATATGTGTATATATGTTTGTTTGTTTATATATATACGTATATATGGATGTATGTGTGCATGGATATAGCATCTAATACATAATTTTGCATAACAAATGAAATAACAGGTGTTCTTGCAATGTTAGTATTTCCTTTCGTTAAAATATTTGTGTCTATTTCAATGGAAACAATGGAATAAAAATATTTGTTTTCTCATATGTTGTTTTGCATTTCAGAGGGATATAAACTTATGATACATGCTGATATTCTTAAATTGGAGTTTCAGATATTTTATTAAAAAAAGAAAATTGATTATCCATGTTGATCCAAGAACTGCGTTGTAATATACGTAATATGTGTATTACATGTACATGTTTATATTTCATATATTTTAGCTTATTAAATACTCACAAAAACTAAGTACCTATTATAATTTCATTTTAGAAATTTGCAAATTATGACTTAGAATGATGACTGTCGCTTTCTTTAAGGTATTAAAACTAGATTTAGGAAAATATAATTTAATGGTTTTGAAATATCTTTCACAATAAGGTATGATGTCTATGTTTCATAAAACATGAGTTCTACAGATATTTGAGTAACATACAACTGTTTCTGCACATATATAAATTATATAATTTATGTAAAAATCTAGTACAATAAGGCTTTTCAGCTTCCATAATATATAAACAAAGTCTCTTTAATAGGAAGAGACATGTATAAGCAGATGTAATAGTCAACTAGCTAAATAGAGACTTCCTCAAAGGAAGTTCAATATCATTGAGAAATGTTGAAAAAAATTAGAAAGTTTATGGTCAGGATTTGTATGATACTTGTCATGAATATATTAAAAAAATTTTAAATGAAGTCAGCAGCCATCATATAACCTCAAGAGATATACTTATCAGGAAAAATAAGAGAGTGATGGTGAAATGGTGATTCCTCAGTCACCACCACCATTTCTATTTTTGTATAACCTGACCCTTAGACCCTGACCCTCAATGTGTTAGTGGATGCTCTGTGATGCTGCGGGTCTACTTTATCTTCAAGGTGTGATACAATGTAAATATTCTATAAACACTTGTCAAAGGAACGAATAAGTAAAGATTCAACTTACAACACACCTTTCCACAATATGTCCCATTATTTTAGAGGTAAACTGCTTCTGATCTCTGAAATTAGCATCTACAAAAGAATTGATGAAAGTAAAGAGATGGAAAAGCACTTTGGATATTTGACGAAAAGTATAAAGTCTTGAGCAGAATGAATATGGAGAATTATAAGATATGAGTTTGAGGAGGTAGCCTGGTTCCAAGTAATCCAGGGTCTCATGGGACAAGGCATCGCAGGTGATTGGATTTTATCAAATATGTGATAGAAATGCCCTGTAAGGGTTTTGAACGGGGTGGGATATGACCTGAATAAGAGTTAAAGAGGATTATTTGGGCTGCTTCATGAGAACAGATTGTTGAAGGCAGGAACAAAAGCAGAGAGAACTTGCAGGAGGCAATTGCAGTAGACCAGGTAGGTAATGGATGTAGCAGTAATCATCAAAGTTGCAATATATTTTCAAGAGAAGCTCAACAGGACTTATTAAATTTTTCAACAAATAAGTTGAGAATAAAGATGTGAAGGAAACTGTCAGGTTTAAATTCTAACAATAACATGGACTATAACGCGGAAGGTGGTATCATTTAATTAGATAGGGAACACCTAGGTTTATTATAGAAAATAAAATATTTAATTTTATACTAAATTGATATCTAATTGGAGATATCAATTAGATAGTTTCATATACAAGTTTGAAAATTAGGGGAGAGATGGGGGAGAAGGCACACAATTTTAGATTGCTTTACCATTTGTACTTCATGAAAAGGAGGAGAATCCAAGGAAAGACACTGAGAAGGAGGTTTCAGTGTGTTGGCTGAATATCTGGGACAGAGATTGTTATGGGTCACACACTATGTCAGATGACACAATTATTTTTCTATTGTCTCCTCCCAAAATTCATATACTGATATCCTAACACCCAGTACCTCAGAATGTGGCCTTATTTGGGGATAAGGTCTTTACAGAGGTAATAAAGTTAAAGTAAGATCATTAGGATGGGCACTAATCCAACATGGCTTGTGTTGTTATTAAAAGATGTAGACATGCTTAGAGGGAGAACACCGTGTGAACATAAATATAGTCTTCTAAAAGCCAAGGAAATAGGTTGGAAACAGCTCCTTCCCTCACAATTTTTAGAAAGAATCAACGCTGTCGATGTCTTGATTTTGAATTTCTACATCCAGAATGGTGAGATGATAAATTTCTACTGTTTAAGCCCTCTATTTTGTGCTACTTTGCTATGGCAGCTCTAGGAAACTAATAAAGATTTAGTACTGAGAAGTTGAGGTGGTGTTGTAATAAACATAAAAAAAATGTGGAGGTGGCTTTGGGATTGGGTATTGGGTAGATGCTGATAGAAAAAGCCTATGCCTTATGAGACCGTTGGTAGAAATATGGACATTGAAAGGTGATTCTGGTGAAGGCTTAGGAAGGAAAGAGGTAGGCTGTAGAAAAAGTGTCTATCATCTGAGAGAATATATATATATACCATCATGAACAGAATGCTGCTATAAATATGAATATTAAAGTTGAGGTCTCAAATGGAAATGAACATCTTTTTGTAAACTAGAGAAACGGCAATTATTGTTGTAGAGTGGTAGCCCTAGCAACTAATACAGTGAACTTTGGTCTATTGTCTTACGGTCATAATTTGTACTACTGACTTTGAATATGTAAATTATCTTAAGTGAGTCCTCAGTATTACACTTTCGTGAATTTATACATGGCACATCTTTTTATGGAATTCCCTTCCCAGTCTTTCTTGTTCTCTCAATTCTCCCTTAAAACTCAGCTGAAGCATTGCTTCCTCTGGGAAGCATTCTAGGATCGCAGTTTCATTTAGATGTTCCTTAGCACAACATGAATATATTTATAATGATATTTATTGAATTGATCTTTAATTGTCTGATCCCATGGCTACATATTAAATCACTGAGAGTAAGGAACCAAGCTTATTCAACATGGTAATACCAATATCTATGTGAGGTTGTTTGACACAAATAGATCCTCCATAGGCATTTTTTGATTGAATGAATAAGTGAAAGATTAACTTTATAAAACTTTTAAAGATGTTTCTTCTTTTTTCATAGGTAAACTAATATATGAAGTCAGCGCCTATAAAGACTAGATGGAACCAAGGAACAATGTGACTTACTTTGTCCTCTTGGGCCTCACACAGAATCCAAAGGAGCAGAAAGTCCTTTTTGTTCTGTTCTTGCTCTTCTACGTTTTGACCGTGGTGGGCAACATGCTCATTGTTGTGACTGTAACTTTCAGTAAGACCTTGGGCTCGCCAATGTACTTCTTTCTTGCTAGCCTATCATTTATGGATGCCATTTATTCTTCAGTAATTTCCCCCAAATTGATTTCAGACTTGTTCTTTGGGGAAAATACTATATCCTTCAAATTTTGTACAACCCAGCTCTTTACAGAGCACTTTTTTGGAGGATCAGAGGTCTTTCTTCTGTTGATGATGGCTTATGACCGCTATGTGGCCATCTGTAAACCCTTGCATTATTTGGTCATCATGAGGCAATGGGTGTGTGTTGTGCTACTGGTAGTGTCCTGGGTTGGAGGTTTTCTGCACTCAGTAATTCAACTTTCCACTATTTATGGGCTCCCATTCTGTGGCCCCAATGTCATTGATCACTTTATCTGTGACATGTACCCCTTATTGAAACTCATCTGTACTGACACCTATGTCATTGGCCTCTTAGTAGTGGCCAATGGAGGGCTGATCTGCACTGTTGTTTTTCTGCTCTTACTCATCTCTTATGGTGTCATCTTGCATGCTGTAAAGAAACTTAGCCAGGAAGGGAGGCAGAAAGCCCTCCAGACCTGTGGTTCCCACATCACTGTGGTTTTCTTCTTCTTTGTTCCCTGTATTTTCATGTATGCAAGACCTACTAAGACCTTCCCTATTGACAAATCATTGAGTGTGTTTTATACGGTCATAACACCCATGCTGAACCCGTTAATCTACACTCTGAGAAATTCAGAGATGACTAATGCTATGAAGAAGCTCTGGAGAAGAAATGTCATATCTTGTGGTAAATAAGTGCATCATCCACCATAAAGAGAGTTATTTGACATTAGGATCCATTTCCTTGAAATGCAGAAGTCTTCTTAAATCTGATACTGTCTTTCCTTTCTTCAAAGAATTTATGATAATTATAATTAAAGAATTATCTTATGGTTGTGCTATTAAGAACTGTTTTCCTCCGTGCTAGAATCTAAGGTCTATAATGTCTTGTTTTTCACTTTACCTAGAACTGTGTGATGTCTATATAGCAAGGAGTCCATAATATGTAATGGATTACTGAGAAAATTTTTGTATAGTTACATTGATTTTTAATCAATATATGCATTTATCTTTTTTCTGAGACTTACTATTATTTCTATTTAGATTCCTGTCATTCATGTTGTCTTTTTATTTTAGTGTTTAAAATATTTAATGCTGTATAGACTGTCTTTATTAAATTTTAGTGGCATTACATACAAAATTTTTTGTGATATTTCTACTTTTTAAAGGAAAAATTGAAGTGTAATAGATAATACTAAATAGTAAAACTGAAAGCCATACCAAATGGGATATAGCGTTGAGTAAATTTCCTATTTATCTCTCGTTATAGTCTCTAGTCCTCTTCCCCAGAGGCAGTCACTTAAACTGTTTCTTAAGATTCATCACATAATAATCTTTGCAAATGCAAGTGTATTTAAATATATTTATGTTTTCATCTGTATATGTAAATATTTGTTTTTGCTATGCAACATCTTGAAGATATTTTCATACTAGCCCATATAGATCTGTTAGTTCTTCTCATACTTTATAATACTGCTGTATAAGTGTATACTCAACTGAATGTATCCATTCCTCTGTCTCTCCTTCCTCTTCTTTTTCTATGCCAAACAACTTTGTCATAAATATATATTTTTGAATATGTGCAAATATGAGTTCCTAGAAGTGGAACTATCATAACGTATTTGAATCAATGGGCAGATAGTATACGTATATAAATTGTTGGTATTCATAGTTATTGCCAGACTGCCATCCTTGAGGTTGTACTAACTGCTGCACTCCTGCCCACCATCTATGAGAATACTTTTGTCCACATTCTCAACAACCAATACATGATAAATATTTATAGCACATGGCAACCTGATTAAAGTTATTTTATTTCATTTATATACTTTAATCAACATCCTTTTAATATAATTGAGTTTGAGTAGTTTTCACACGTTTGATATAATTTGCATTTCTTTTTCTGTGAATTGTCTATTAATATCTATTATCTATTTTATTCAATTGTTGGTCTTTTGTATACTGATTTTTATGAGTTAATTGAAAGTGATCCCTTTTACTATTGTATATGCAATTATTACTTTTCTTGCTTGTGTTATGGTTTTAATGTTTTTGTATTATGTAGAATGCTTTTGGCAAGTAATATTTTTTTCTTTACATTTCGTATTTAGTGTTTTTTTTGGTTTTTATATCTTGCTTAAAAAAACATTCCCCACTTTGATCTTACCAAAATATTCTTCAATCATTTTTTAGCATTTAATTTTTTAAGTATTTTTGTGGTCTTATATATTATTTTAAATATTTTGATCCATCAGGAATTTATTTTAATCTAGAAGTTAAATAGGGATTGAATTTAGTTGTTTTTCAGAATTTTAGTTTTTTTATAGTTGCATAATTATCTTCTTGCTCTCGATTTGAAATCCAGACTACTGTATTCTAAAGCCCTGTATGTATTTGGATCCAATTCAAGACTCTATTCTCTTTCACTGGTCTCTTTATTCTGATACCATTTGACACACAATGTAATTGCTTTGATATATAGCACCTTTTGATACGTGATAGGACTAGCAGTCCCTCATTACTATTCTTTTTCAGAATTATGTCTATTATTCACGTGTGTTTGAAAATTGTTTAAAGTAAAATAATAAGTTTAAATTAAAAAAAATAATATAAGTTTAAAAGTAAAGTAAGTTTACAATTAAGTTAAAAAGTTTAAAATAGTTTAGTCACTAAACAAAGTTCAGTTATTATTTTCAGTAAGATTCAATTTAAGAAGATTAATTTAAGAGGAGTTTATATCTTTAGAGTATTCAGAACTGTTATCCATGAACAGAATAGATCTTTTCATTTAGCAAGTCATCTTTTATACCCTTATGTAGTGATTCCATTTCCTGCCTGTGTTCCTTATCCCTTATAGCTAGCTGCTGTTCTTCACCCATGCCCCCTAAAAAGCTAGCTGGCACTTTTGCTTTAAGAAAAAACATCTCTTTCAGGAAGTGCAGGACTCAAGTCTTTGCTGAATATCTTTTGGTGCTGCTGAGATCATTCTACCCATGGTGCTTGCCAATGGCAACTGTGGCCATCTGCAAACCACTGTACCGTGAAATCATCATGAGTGACAGGGATTTGGCTTCCTCTCTCAAGTGGCATGAGCCAGAATCTTTGTCCTTGCAACCATTCAGATCCTCTTCATGATCTGTCTGCCTGTCTGTGGCCCCAATGTCATAGACCATTCATCTGTGACTTAAACCCTTCGTTGAATCTCATCTGCACGGACACTCATACCCTTGGTCTCTTTGTAGCTGCCAACAGTGAGTTCATTTGCCTGTTAATTCTCTTCCTCTTGATGGTCTCTGATGTAGTCATCTTGTACTCAGGTACTTGTACCTAAGGACTTATAGCTCGGAGGGGAGATGCAAAGCCCTCTCTACCTGTATCTCTCATATCACTGAGGTCATCATAGTCTTTGTGCCCTGTGTGTTCATATATTTGCACCAAACGTCATCTTCTCCATTGATAAAGCCGTGGCTATGTTTTGTCAGAATTAGTTAGCATTCTTAAAAAATGCAGATTCTCAGGACACAGCAGTAGAAATTTTAATTTAGTAGTTTTGTTATCAGATTGACATATCTACCTTTTAAACAAATTACCCAGGTGTATCTGAAGCCAATGATCTTTGCATACAGTTTGAGCTATTATGTTCACTTCAGGAGCCTATTAATGAAGCCATCCTCGTCTTTAAATTTATTTTTTAAATTATGGTAAAATATACAAAACAAAGTTTACAACTTTAACCATTTTAAGTGTCCAGTTGAGTGGCAGTAAGTTAATTCGCATTGTTATGCAAACATCTCCACCATCTATCTCCAGAACTTTTTCATCTCCCAAACTGAATCTCCACATCCATGCAACAATAGTTTCCCATTCCACCTCTCTGAGCCCCAGGAAACCAACATTCTACTTTGTGTCTATAAAGTTGACTACTACTTTAAGTACCTCACGTAAGTGAAATCATAAAATCTTTGTCCTTTTGCGACTGCCTTATTTCACTTAGGATAATGTATTGTAGGTAATCTATGTTTTAGCATGTGTCAGGATTTCCTTCCTTTTCAAGGCTGAGTAATATTCTATTGTTTGCATATACCTCATTTTGTTTAGACATTTATGCCAGTAGACACTTGGGTTGCTTCTACTTTCTGGCTATTGTGAATAATACTGTCATGAAAATGGGTGTAGAAATAGCAGAGTGTTTGAATTTCTGCTTTCCATTATTTTGGATATATACACAAAAGTGGAACTGCTGAATCATTTTATAATCTTTTGTTTAATTTTTTGAGGAACAACCATAACATTTCCCTAGCAACCGCATCATTTTACATTCCCACCAGGAGTGCATAGTTGTTCAAATTTCTCCACATTATCTCTTACATGTGTTAGTTTTTGTTTTCCTCTTTTCATAACAGCTATCCTAATGGATGTGAAGTGGTATTTCAATATGGTTTTGAATTGCAATTCCCTAATGATTAGTGAGGTTACGCATCTTTTCATGTGCTAGCTGACTATTTATATGTCTTCTTTGGAGAAATGTCTATTCAAATCCTTTGCTCATCTTTAATTGGTTATTTGTTTTGTTGTTGTTGTTGTTGTTGAGATGTGGCAGTTCTTTGTAGGTTCTGCATATTAATGCCTTATCATATATATTGTTTACAAATCCTTTTTTTTTTTGATGAGGAAGTCTGGCTTTGAGCTAACATCTGTTGCCAATCTTCCTCTTTTTGCACGAGGAAGATTGTCACTGAGCTAGCATCTGTGCCAATCTTCCTCTATTTTGTATGTGGGATGCTGCCACAGCATGGCTTGAAGAGCAGTGTGTAGGACCACCCCTGGGATCCAAACCGGATTCAGCAAACCCCAGGCAGCTGAAGCAGAACGTGAGAACTTAACCGCTATGCCACCAGGCCGGCCCCGTTTGCAAATCTTTTCTCCCATTCCATGGGTTGCTTTTTCACTCTGTTATAGTGTCATTTGATGCAGAAAAGTTCTTAATTTTGAAAAGTACAATTTATCATTTTTTTTTCATTTCTTGCCTGTGCTTTGGATGTCATATCTGAGAAAACATTGCCAAATCCAGCATTTCTTCTATATTTTCTTCTAAATGTTTTCTAGTTTTAGCTAATATTTTAGGCCTTTGATCCATTTTGGGTTAATATTGTATATGCTGTAGGTTAGGGTTCAATTTCATTCATTCGCTTATAGATATCCAGTTTTCACAACACTGTTGAACAGGTGTACTTTCCCCAAAGAATACTCTTGCAACCCATGTAGAAAATCATTTGAAAACATATACAAAGGTTTCTATCTAAACCCTCTATTTTATTCCATTATTCTATATGTCTGTCTTTGTGCCAATACCATACTTTTTTGATCACCACAGCTTTGTAGTAAGTTATAGGATCAGGAAGTATGAGATTTCCAAATTTGTTCTTCTTTTTCAAGATGTTTTGGCTATTTGGAGTCACTTGAGATTCTGTATGAATTTTAGGATGAATTTTTCTATTTCTGCAAATCACACTTTTGGGATTTAATAGGAATTGCATTGAATCTCTAGATCACTTTAGGTAGTTTGACATCTTGATAATATTAAATCTTCTAGTCCTTGAATGTCTTTCCATTTGTTTCTGTCTTCTGTAATATCTTTCAGCAACATTTTGAAGCTTTCAGTGAACAAGACTTTTGCCTCCTTGGTTAAGTTAATTCTTAAGTATTTTATTATTTTTAATGCCGTTGTAAATGGAATTGTTT